TTTCTACGTTTATTATACGTTTTTTAAACGTATTATTTCTGTATACTTTCCTTATACATATTATTTATAGGGAAATAAAAGTAAGCTAAACTTTAATAAAGAGCTTTTCATTCAAGGAGTTAAGGTTGTAAAGCGGGTAGTCTAGTATTTTCCAAAAAATAGGGAAACGTATTATAGAAGAGTCTATAAGAGTAAACAATATACGCATCTTACATCAGATTGTGAAAGACATGTTCAAAGAGACTATAAATGATATCTCATAGAAAGATCTTAATAAAATGATTAAAACTGCTGTATGAAGGCCTAATAAAAATAACAAAAATGTACAGCGCTTCATTTTACGAATGCGAGATAGACACACCTGTGAAAAGACAGATATCAAACAGCTCATAAAAAAGGGCTTAATACCCGAGTCTTATATTTATGAAATCCCAAAACCAGGTAAGCAGTTTGAATATATTATAGTTGAGAATGAATCATCAGAGAGGATGGGTGACAAAATGGAATATCCAGAAGTGGTAAGACGTCTCATAAACTATGATGATAGTTACCAGCTATCATCTGAAATTGTGCTAGAAACCTTAAAAAAGTTAAAAGATAGCAATAAAGCATGTGATAATAAAGCGGATGATGATGAAGCAGATGAAAATAACATGGATAAAGACAAAGTGAATGAAAATGAGGTATTGAAAATAAGAGATGCCTTAGCGCAAAAATCAGCTGAAAAGTGGGTTAGAGGCTATATCAAAAACCTTTATGAAGGCCTGAAAAAAGATGAAGCTATCATATCTCATCTATACAGAGGGCTCGCATTTATGCGAAACTTTATTTGATACTACTTATGCTGATAGAATAGTAAAATGTTCAGAAAATAATGCTTATTACACTTTCTTCTTCAATGTATTAGGTAAGTAAGAGGATTTTATCCGCTTAAAACTTTCACAATTGCTTAAAGAAATTTCTGAGATTGTCTGCCTATATTCTCATCTCATAAATTTTTATGTGTTCCCGTAGATTGTAGTTGGAATTGTGATAAAGTCACTTATTAAGGCTGTTGAGGTTCTGAGGATGCCATTGTATTTTTTACTAAGCTTCGATTTCATTTCTAGTCATTCCTGATCTGTTAGTATCTACATATGGATTGGCTGTCAGAAAAATTAGAAAAGAAGACAGTGCACTCTTTTGAAATAATATATATTTTTCTATTTTAGCTAGAGCTTGTGTAATATTATCCTGTGTATCATAAAATTTGGCTATTATTCGAAGATTATATTGATTCATCAGAGACAGATCACAAATAAATTGCTCTCTTTGCTTTTAAAAGTCATTTCAGCTACTTTACCAATCTTTTTAATTCTAGTGAAAAATTGCTCAACTGATATATTATCCTGTATGAGTTGACCAAAAACTGCTGTTTGTTTTAAGTGTTCAACTGTTGTATAAGTGGTTCTAAACAGGTATAAATATTAACTAAGCTCAATACCAGAAGTAATAGTAATAGCAGGAAGATCGCCTCTAGCATTAGGTGTTATTGGTGTATTATCTACAGGTTCACCACCAGCTATAGACCAGCCTTCATCCCATGTTCCATCCAGAATAATATCAGTACCTGTTGCAACTCCTGCTTCAATTCTACCAATTTCAGCAGCTGCCTTACCTTGGAATTCTCTAACAGTATTCAACTCACCAATTTGATTACCACCATTTCTAGTACCTATTGCTCGAACAGCAGTTAAAGTAAGTACTTTCAAGTTGTCTGAGAGATTATTACATCTCCAATTTTTACCTTTGATACAATGTAAATAAAAATTCAATGCATCATCTGCAAGGTATGATACTACTAACCCAAATGTCTCTTCTCTTCCAGTGACCTGACCTGCATCAGACGTAATATTTATTCAACTAGCTATTATATATCTTTGCATGTCTCTAAGCCAATCATCTGGATCCTCTTCAAGACATCCATAAAATATTGGGGGTCTGTATCCTACCATTCCTGATATATTTAATGGATTATTCTTTAATGCTAAAATTTCTCCTTGTAAATTAAATATTATTTGACGTTTTTCATATGTCTTATTTTTTCACTTCTCATATATATCAAAAAGCTGATCTCAATTATATTTTAGTACCTTCCTATCACCTTGACATTTATGCAGTTAAGCTTTCAGTTGTCAATTATCTCTCCTTGTATCAACCACTAAATCTTGTGCTATCCTAGCCTTATAAATTTAAAATCGAGAAATAAAAATAAGATAAGTATTTTCTCGAAGTAATCTAGCTTTTTTCTCTTCTAGCCGATCATTAATAGCTCCTATATCATCATAATAGGATGGGAAATCTGATATAGAATCTTCCTTCCCATCTATAATACCCCTTAAATCACCTAAAATCTCATTATCAAATTCTAAATGAGAACTTGACATTTCAGAAGGAGGAGAAAGATTTTCACCATATATAATTCGTGTTAATT